ATACAGAAAGATGAAATAGTGTATTTACAGTATACACATTCCATTTATGTACATTACAATATAGCATAATAGTAAGTCTGTGGGCATAGAATTCTGAGCGTCGCTGCTGAAAGTGTGTGTAGGTCGCACATACTGATGACGTAGAACTCTTGCGTAGTTTCGCTCAAAAGTCAATTGTGAGTTGCTGCGTGCGAAAGATGACAGCTGTGTTGGAGTTGTGTTCACATTTTGCTTCCAGTAATAATAATAACAAACAACAACAACAACAACAACAATAATAATAATAATAATTATTATTATTATTTTTATTATTTACTTCTGATAATTTAAGTATTTTCATAATTTTTGCTAATGGTTTGAAAGTGCTTATAAATGTTTATATTGTTTGCACGAGTGTAGCATTGTAATGCAATTTATTTATATTTCTTTTCCTTTTAACACTTGCAGGTCTTAAACACGCTGTAGTTCAAGCATAATCGCTTGTAGTGCCTAGCGTAAAGCTACTGTACAATAAAACGATTTCAACGCTGTGGAGGTCGACGTTTATATCACAGTGTCATCAGAAAGGTTACTGTAAACTACATTCCCTCACTGTTTTTGGACAAATCCTCTTTTATAGCTCGTCAATTTTTTACAGTGGACGTAAATTGTTTACTTCATCCTTGTTCTTAGTTTGTTTCACATGCAGAGGACGAAACATGTTTTTGTACATACTGTAGTTAAACAGGCAATAAGTAGCAGGCTGCAAAAGGCTCATGAGCTGACTAGAAGGCACAATTTAATAGCCTATGACTATATTTACAAATGAAAACAAACATGTACAAGTACAGAATAAAGTGTGAATTTTAACACCATATATTCCAATATGCTGCAAACTCAATATGTACTATAAAGGTGGTGTTGATGATTTCTTGGAGTGCTGTTTCTGTGTATAAGTGACCTTTTGTGCTTTACTAATTATTTTGTGAGTATTGGACATATTGTCCAGGTTTGACTCAGTATTATAAATGTACATACATGCATATACTTTTTGGAGCTTTTAATTTGAATGCGTAGCACTCCATACCTTATTGTAAATATTGCAATAAACTGTTTATTGGAAATACATTTACAGTATTCACTGTTCAGTGTGTATCTGCAGTGTTGAGCCTGTCAGTAACAACAGTGTGTCATTTTAGACATTAGTGTCAACGATGTGTGTAACAACTCAGGAACTGTTGTACAATGTCCACTGTTCATTTGATATTAATGTTATACGTTAATGTTATTTTGTTACTATTAAATATATTTCAGCTGAATTTTTGGAGTCTCAAATGTTTTGATGGATTTTGTCCAGATGATTAAAGTGAAATATAGAGATACACAGACAAACAAGGTTTCTGTGTAGTGAGGGGGAAATCACGCACAAACACAAACATAGCTTGTCCATGTTGACAACATCCAGAAATGTTTTTGAGGTCTTCCTATTGCAGCTCTCTCTCTCTGCAAGAGACTCTCCTGCCTGGCAGCACAATCTCACCCATGCCTCTTTAACTTTGTTTCCAGACCGCCGTGGCTTCACATGTAGGAATGAAATAAACTTTATCTCAAACCAAACATAACAATATTTTTCATTAATTTTACCCCAAGCACCACTGTTCCCACT